ATTTCCCCATTAGCTCCTTTCTAGTTACTTCTGTCAACACCTGCTCCCAATTAACTGATTACCCCACTCTTGGTTCTGTCTCCCATTGTTTATCCTCCTCTGCAGATCATCAGTGCTGGTTTCTCTTCCTTGCTTTGCTCCCTGTGTGTGTTTCTCCCTGGCGTCTCCTGTTTTTTTCTTTTTTTTTTTGGTTTGTTTATTTTGTTCCTAGATTTGTGCTTCTGTTGCCATCAGTATTTAAATTAAATCTGCAAGAGCTCATCTCTGTCTCCTCATCTCTGCAGTTGGATCCTCAACCAACCTCCACCAACCCATGACAGTATCAGGTAAACAGAGATTTTGCATTTTAATTATCTTCACATTCCCAGTAGGAATATAGACCAGGTGATGTCTTTTATCTTTCATACAGAGAGGAATTGGCTAAATCATTTCTTTTTCTTACATATGAGCAAACAAAAATGGATATACAGATCCTGCCATGGTAGAACAACACAGATGTGTTAGAATGGAGAAAAGACTAAACTGTTACATCCCGAGGCATTAAACCTTCCAAATGATGAATGGCAGGTTTGATTCATCCATTGATATGATTAGCTTTTAATTAAAAATGATAAAAAAGAAAAACAAATACAGTGATTAAACTATGAGGCTTATTTTGCCAATTATATGAACAAATCCAACTATTCAACAAACAATATTGGCTTATTCTGGTTTTCTTCAGCTTTTAAAATAAAATGTATACAACTTTCAATAACTACTGAAGATTTGTAACATTCCGATCTACCATAATCCTGTTTTGTATTGAGCAGAAAAAATATGTTTTTAGTAAATGTAGTAAATGTAGCTTTTTTATTTTATTTTAAAGCTTTGAATCCTCCATGCAAATAGTTTTTAGTATTAACTGTGATCTTGCTAAAATGCCACTGCCTTTGGAAACCTAACAAATATAGGACTCATGGGGTTGAAGTTATTCCTCTGAGTTTCCATAGACAAACAGCCTGACAAGATAAAGTGAGGATGGCTGAAGAAAGAGAACATTTGTCATTATTGAACCAAGAGCCTTTGTGCAGTCCTGGTACAGAACAATCAATCCCTGCTCCATCTCTGTAATTGACTGTGTTGGTTGTAGATTGAGGGGAGGAGCGGGGAAGTCAGGTCAGCCTTTTCACTGAGCAGAAATTGCAAATTTACTTCCAGAATCTCTTGCTGAATCATAGGATGTTTTGAGCCATAATGATTTAAGGATCTTTGATTTTTCCATTTTCTTTGTGTGTTGTTTACACTTTCTCATTGTTATTAGATTGTAGCCTTTTAGTATTATTTTGCAAATTAACTTCTAGAGCTCATGATTTTGCTTAAACATTTCCGTATTGGATTTAAGTTCTCAGATGAAGTTATTCATCTTTTTTTGCCATATATGCTTCATTTTTTCAGGCTTATATTTTTTTAGTTTTTTTTATGCTAGAGTTGCTCTTTACAATTAGCCCTCTGGTGTATTTTTGGTTTCATTTTACTTTGAGTTATTGGTGTTATAACTTTACACACTTTATGTTCTGTTATCTATTTAGTTCAAATATGCTTTAGCTCAATGCTATTACCTTATTGGATCCATCTATGTCACTGCAGACACCTGTTTCCTCTTCTTTATGTACTGATCAGTTTAATCAACTCTGGTTTATACAGTTTGCCACACCATGCTAGAGACCCAAGACTTGATGATAGCTGTTGATTTGTCTATTAAAACTTTTCTAACCGCTATGCTGCCTCCGCCACACTTAGATCATTCCCAGGAACCAGATTGCTTCAATCCAGTATAAAAGATCAGGTTCATTTCCATTAATGCCATAAGATCAAGATTAACACAACAGAAAATCACATTTGCACATGTGCCATATCAAATTGAATTATCTGCATTAGAAATTATAGGCAATAATGTTTTGGAATAAAAGCCTAGCTTTACCATACAGCCTGTCCAAATGCAAACATGATGACTTCAGCATGTGTAGGGTAGTTTCCATAACATGCTCAGCAACTCATCTCACACACACCCACACATATATGTTATGAATATATATATATAATGTGTGTTTTGCATCAGATAGAGATCTGAGAGTGTGTAACCTGTGAGCGCTACGTGCTGGAGAACATGTCCTTAATCACATCATCTGTGCATCTGGTCCACCGCGACTGTTTTTTCAATGATGTTTCCCTACATCTGCTTTTCAGCAGTTGTGAAGCAGTTGTCGCTGCTTCACTCTGAAACAACTACGCTCCCTACTAGTGTTATATAAGGAAAATTATACCAAGAGTTTAATAATGAATTGAATTCTATTTATTACAACTGGTCAATTTCTTTATGTTATTCCAGTGCAGAGTATCTGAAAAGCAAGTTAAAAGGGATCCTTGTAACTTCTAACCTTTTTTCCTGGTGTAATCTACTACTTTTTTTGCACCTTTGCATTTTTCTAAAGCACTTTAACAAAATATATTCAAAGCTTTCTTATCGTTTCTTCTTTTAATTTCGGCATAATATACATCAAGGGTCCATCTGGATCCTGCAAATTGAAAAGGACTCTTAAGCCACAGCAATAATGCGTTAGTGATATGTCTGTAGTCCAAATAGCTCTGAAAGGTAGAAAAGGAAGTCAGATGCTTCCAACAATAGTTTATTTAGCATAGGGTCAAATGCACTTCAGGAAGAATGGTCACAAAATCCCCAAATCTCACTTCTAAACCTCGTGGTGGATTCCCCAAAAGAAATTAAGCTAAGGTCTACCTGCAAAGGGTGACAAATTCAACTCATGCTGAGTGAATCCTTCAGTAGTATAGCGTTGTGTATATGCTTATTTATTTTTGGGTTTTCCTGTCTGTTTACATGTTTCTATGTTGCACTGCATGGTGGTGCAGTTTGTATTACTGTTTCTTTCCATCAAGAAGATCCTGGGTTTAATTACTGGATATCTCTGCATGGAGGATTTGGGTTCTCTCTGGGTACTCCAGCTTCCTCGTGTACCTGAGCAGATAGACACTTAGACCCTGATGAAGAAGTAGACAAAAGATGGATGTTTCAATGTTTTCTTGAAAGAAAAACCTTGCACTACAGCTGTACCAAAAAGAGCTTTAGAGACAAAAATCGCGATTTCAGCAGCATGTCATATTTGTAAATGAGTCAGTCTTCTGAAATATTCTTAACTGTACTTCAGTGCTGTGCAATTAATTATTCGAAGGCTGAAAATGATAGGTTATAGCATGACCTTACTTCATTTAACAGTATTTTTATATTTTATTTTGAAAATACTTGCTATCTGTTTGTGCCTGCTGGTTTATATCTAGACACATTAATGTGCACTTATTCTTCATAATGTATCATGCTGTGTTAAGGACACAAATGTAATACCCTGTCAGATCACAGTCAGGAGCTGCTGACGCTCTGGAGGTTATGGAGCTTCTGACGTTGCTGCTGTTAACTGTACATCAAATACAACAACAAAAATATTTTTCTTTTCAATTTATTTTCTCGGCATACGTGATGTTTACTGTAATGTCCTTTTTGAAATATGTATTAATAATTCCTTATTTTCTAGCAACAGCAGCATTGCTTTTCTTTTTACCTCCACCGACGAGGTTTGATAAGCTATGAATGGATTCTGATGACATTAAATATGTGCTAATAATCTCCACATGCTGTTGTTAACATTGTAAGCTCTATTGGCAAGAATTGTAGAATTCAAGGCTTTTTATCTTCTTCCACTGCCATAGTGGATCGTTGGCTTCTTCCATTTTTGGTCATCCTTAACTCTGGATTAGATTTGTAGCCTATTTGATACCACCTGTTTATAAACTGAGAACCAAAGAGACAGGTAGGGTTACTCCAACTCTTCATCTCAAGTGTAAATACAGATGCAAAAGACCTGTTTATATTGATTAACAAATGATGCATTACTTTGTGTGAGGACTTTTATAATAAAAAAAAAAAGAATAATAATTTTTTTATATCTATGCCTTCTTTGAAGTTGATATTACACCTAGGTTTTTTACAGTAAAAACCATGAAGTTTCTAGGAACTACTAAACCATCCATGTATACAAGTATTTATTTTTTTTTTTTTTTTAGGGGTGCAGGAGAGAGTTGGAGTGGTAAACTTGTACCTGCATTGGTTGAGGAGAATATATTGGGTAAGAGGCAGGGTTCATTCTGGACTGTTGTGAGTCCCTCACAGCGGGGCAAACTAATGGATAGACGACATAAAAAAAAAATTGTAAATACTGCATCCTTAGGGACAATTATGATTATCTAAATAAAAGTAGTGTTTTTTGTTTGTTTTGGTTTTTACTTTGAGGGGAAGTGAGAAAATTCAGAGAGAACCACTCAAGCATAAAAAGAACATTGAAACTCCGAGAATGAAGTCTGAATTTGAACCCACAGCTCTTGCTGCAAGGCAACAGTGGAAAATGCACCAGCCAGGATATACTATGAAAATGATCAAAGCACTAAATAAAAAAAAACAAAACAACTTATGCCTATACAGCCACGAGCATAAAACAGTCCAGCATTGAAAACATTTTTTATCAGTAAATTGCTCTCATGCAGCTGCATCTGTAAAGCTTGATCCTACCAGCAGATGTCAGTGTTGTAGCACCCAAACTCCATCTAATGTAGTCCATGCCTTTATGTCTGCTAAAACCCAAATATAGAAAGACACTAAAAAATTTTTTTTAAACCACTCAGATATTGTTGTAGGAGGCCTTTGAGGCTGAAAATGAAGTGTTTTCAAAAATTTTATGTTTTAGTAAGTTTTTACAGAAATGTTGTAATATTGCAACATTGGGCCAAATGGGGAGCAGAATTTCCTGTATGTGTACTCATTGTCTGAACAGCAATATAGGACTACGGATTAATTTGCAGGGTTTTGCTTTTATCCCAGAACAGTATAACATGAAAAATACTCTCAGTCATGTTGTTATGAACAGTTTGTTTTTATTTATTCCAGCAAAGAGAACTTTTTATTTACAATGATAGTCCCAAAAACAGTTCCTTTCCTCTGAAAAACAGAGGCGAACATCGCACTTGCTGCAATGGGTATTCGTATACCCTTTACTGCAATGTCTGCAGCGTCCTCTCTTGACCTTCATGGGGAAATGTCCAGTGAGGTCCTTGCGCACATCGAGTGGGGGGTGTGCACATGATTTCTTGGACGGACAATTTGGACTCCCATCATCTGAGGATGGTCTCTTCCTAGCAGTCAAGGGACTCCCTGCTGCGTCTGGGTTCCCACTGCCTGATGATGGACGTCCTCTTTTTGGAGTTGTGAGTGTTGTGTCCATCTGATTTGAAAAGAGAAGAATCAATATTAATATTAATAATCAATTCATGCACGTGTCAAAAATGCATGCAGATATCGCAAAACATGGTAAATAGCAGAAATAGATTCTTACCAGGATGAGAGAGGATGCTAGCTGTGCCTGGAACTTTCTCATGTTTAGCATCTCCTTCTTTGGCATCGCGAGAGCCTGACAGTGCCGTTTGTAGAGGAGCCAGGCGTTGACCACGGCGAGGGTGATGGTGTGCCAGAAGATGTACATGTACCATCGGCGGGATTTCAGGGTGATCTTGTATTTTGCTGTAAATGAGTCCAACAAATCCACACCTCCCATGTATTTGTTGTAGGTAGCCACAATGTAAGGTCTTTCAACGTCAATGTAGGTTTTGGTGGCTTTGTCCCAGCGCTGAATCTCCTGCACAGGTTCTGGTCCAGTGAAGGATGACACAAGTGTGACTGCCCTGTTGTCATACCATTTCACAGCGCAGATGTTGTGTGTCCCCTCCACTCTGTGGTCAAAGCTTCCTCTACCCTTCTTCTTCAAGCTCTTCTCATCTTCAAGGTTGCAGTTAGGGAGCCGCACCTGCCTGGCTGTACCCACATAATGAATTCCATGCTCAAGGAGCTTCACTACCAGTGGAACAGAGGTGAAGTAGTTGTCTGCATAGATCTTGTAGTTCTGACCCTTAGGAAGTGTGGAGGCAAGCTTCAATACAACATCACCTGACAATCCAAGTTCAGATTTGACGCGTATTCCATTCTTGCTGCCCTGGTATACATCGAAGTCAAGCATCATGCCAGAGATTCCAGCTCTCACCCATACTTTGAACCCCCATGGATGTGGCTTGCCTCGCATATACTGCTTGATGCTGCTGAACTTCCCCTTGAAAGGAATCATCATTTCATCCACAGAATTGTGCTCTTCTGGTACCACCTGCAGGCATTTCTCCCTGAATGATTCAAGCCATGGTCTGAGTTTCCAGAGTTTGTCCCTCTTTTCAATCTCTGACACTGTCAAATTGTTGACAAAATGTAATTTTGTCAACAGAGATTGGAATCTGTTGCGTGGCATCACATCAGCAATAGGGGGGTGCCGTGTATCTGTCTCCCAGTACATACGGCTTCCAGACATTTGTACCAAGCCCATCCTCAGGTACATGCCCAACATTTTCTGTATTTCCTTTGTATTAGTGTTAACAGATCTTCCATTATTTTGAATGCTGTACTCATTTGTACTTGTAGCCAGAGCTTGAATCGTGTCCTCTGACACAAACTTTTGGAAGTATTGGAGTGGTGTGTGGAGGAAGGTTACATCGTCTGTGACAGGTGGACCAGAAAAATCCGTATTGGGACTGATAAAATCCTTTTTTTGCCAGCGATATCTGTCACGGGGCATGATGCGTTCATTTTCTTGGGGCTCAATGTCCACATTGGCTGGGCAGTCAGACGGCTCTTGGTTTTCTTTGTCCACACAGGGATCATTGTCTGACTCCTCATCACTTGCATCAGTGTCATCAAGGGGTACGTCCACATCACTCTCTCCATCTTGGATGATTGCAATGATATCCTGCACACTGTACCGAGGATCTTTCCTTGCTGCTGGCATTCTGAAATGGAAAAGATAAAATTTAAACAAATGTATATATAAATAGTACACATACTTAGATTCTAGATAACCTGCAGGAAAAGACTGGGTGGTTGAGAGATTTGAAGTGTTTACACATTGCCCTGAAGTAACCCATTCACACATTTCACTGGTCACACAATACTGTGTCACACAATACTGTGTGGCCGACCAATTCTAAACTCTGATTATCATCAAAATAGGAATACAAGTAGCCTCCAACTTACAGCCACACCTTACATTCCTGAACATCAACCCCTGTTCCAGAGCAATGTAATGCAAAGGCCCCTCCAAGCATCCCCACACCTGCTTTGACTATGAATTGATTGGAACATTACCTTATCAATAGCCAAGACAAAGGGCAGACATGCACAACATGGCTGTTGTGTTGTAGACATGTTAGAAAGCCGTACCTTCTGTGATAAGGGAAAAATACTAAGTGTTGAAGGTGGTTAGAAATCCTTATAAGTTAATTAAAATGATTAGATATGGCAATATATCTTAGTATATTAGCTTCTAACACAATAATACATATAATTCAATATAAGGCAAAGGGCTAGACTGTGTAAATTATGTGTGGTTCAAAGTTATATTGGGAAAACTTCCTCTCAAGACATTCCTCTCAAAAACAGGGTTGTTTTGACTACCACATTCACCCAATGTTGTAATATTGCAACAATTACAAAACAAGCTCTAGATAAAGTGTAGGGCACATTTTCCACAATAACTACATATTTACATGTTGTAGACACTGTAATAAACACAGAAAAAAATATGCAAAGCTTTTTACTTACTTCAATTAGATAAATCCAGTCCAGTAAATCGAGGTGATGATGCTCAAGCAAAAATCTGGAGGTTGTGTGACTTCTTCACCTGAGGGTAGGCCTTGTATACAAATGTAGGACCCAATAGCATTGTGAGATGAAACAACATGACTCAATGAGTATGTTAATGCAGTTGAACCAAAAAAAAAAAAAAAAAAAAAAAAGGTTTATTTTGGGAGGACAAAAAAAAAATGTTGTAATTCTGCAACAGTGGGTCTTACAGGAACAGTAGAGTAATAAAGGGATAAAAGCCAGGCAAGCGAAAAACAGTCAACCAAAGATGCAGTTTGAAAAAAGCCCTCAAGAGAATTCTAGAATAAATTTGTGCGGCCCGAGAGTTGGATTGGTCTACTAATAACACCATTAACTACCCGTTCATCAATAAATTGGGAGAAAAATACTGATTGCCCAAAAGGCTCTTGTGTAGTCTTCTTGAAAAATTTGCAGCTGCTTGTTAAGCACAATCAAGAATAATTCTAAACGGTTTCTACAATAATGAGTCTAAAGGCTGATAATTGTTTTAAAGCACAAAATACTTCATGATTATCACAGCTTTTCATGTTTTTGTAAGGAAAAAATGAGCTGTGAAACAAAATGGGAAGAAAGTCTATTTACAGACAGAGCAATCATGTACATAAAGCGACCTTTAACTTCTGGTAAAGGCACTGGTCTGAGATGAAGAGTGAAAACTGTAAAATCCCTCTCAGCTCAGTGATAGTTAATGCAACATACATAAAAATGTACATCTGCAATATGCAAAAATATACTAAATAAAATCAGTGGAATGAGTAGCACCCTGGGTCATTTAAATTCATAAAGGCCTACAGAAGAATCTGATCTCTCTTAAGTCCTCTATTTTTTGCAATCAACAGAGACCAATGAGGGCTTTTAACTGAAGGCCAGTCAGATGTGAGATCTAGATCAGATGAGGTCCTTTAAAAAACAAATACATGATTCCAAAAGCTTTTGAACAGTTTTGAATAAAATAACCTGTATTATGTATTATAGAGATTCCTTGGTAGCATGTGAGAGTACGTGAGGTTGCTAACAGGTGCTCAAATGAAATGAGCACCTGTTTAGAATTGAACTTTTTAAAAACAAAGCTTTAACTCTGAATATAAACTTAAGTTATAATCCAGTTTTTGGCTGTAATTAGAGGTGAGTATTCTACTTCCTGTAGCACACAAAGAAGCTCTGCTAATTGTTACTATATTGTTTTACAGTTCAGTTTTTTATATTTGTAAAATACTGGTCCCTGGCATAAGTTTGTAATTTAGTTTTTCCTATGAGAATTTTCGTAAAGGTACTAAAAGCACCAAAAAAATCAATTTCTGTCATGATTTTGGCAAAGTAACTCTCTCTTCTCTGCCTGCCTGCCTGATCACAGCCTCTGTTCTGCCCCATGGATTCCTCGCTCCTACCTTGCCACTGCTGAACAATCTCCTGCTTTCAGAACACCGACCTCCGTTCACGTTCCTGCCTACTAATTTCTGCCTCTCGGTTCTCCCCTGGGTCCACAAGCTTGTATTTGTCTCCAGAGACAAATAGAAAAATCAGTGCACGGTTTCCTGTCTTTCATTCCTGTCTTCACGACTCTGACCACAGTACTGATCCTACACCTCTGAGTCCTATCTTGTCCCCAGATGATAGTTATCTATAACTTGTTTCCTGACAATAACCACACTGAAGGGTGTGCTGATATCAGTGAAGTGGACCTGTTTTGCCGTCACCTCCACCTCATCTAAGAAGGAATCTAAACTCTGCTCTAATTCCAGTTCCCCGGGGTTCAATTTAATTCAATTCTGTTTGTTTATATACAGCCAGTTCACAACACATGCTGCATGGTGCATTTGTGCTGCATGGTGTGCTGCACGGTGGAACAGTTTGTAGCACTGTTGTTTTGCAGCAAGAAGATTCTGGGTTTGATTCCAAGCCCAGGGTCTTTCTTCTTGGAGTTTGTAGGTTCTTGGGTCAAATGCATGGGTCCTACTGCTCCTGCCGGAGACAGGCACTTGCACCACCACGACCCTGATGGAACAAATGGGAGAAGATGGATGGATGTCTTCTCAAGACACCTAAAAGAGAACATACAGTTGGATTGATTGTATCGAGTCACAAGGTCCTGCTCCTCTCAGATGAGGTTTACAGCTATGGTTGACAAAGTGAGTGCAGGTTGCTTGCCAGCTCTCTTTTGGATTCTCAATAAAACCTTAAACTTTCCTGTTGTGTCCAACTGAAATTTCAGGTCTTCTGTATCATTACATATTCTAGCTTGCTTTTTATTTTATTTTATTTTTTTATTAGGTAACTTAAAAACACTTAAAAGCTTTTCTCTTGCAGACGGCTGCTGAGTCATGTTCCCAAAAAGGTTCTTTGACATACAAGGATGATGATGTAGTATTGGTATTTCTTAATAGAGAGCCCATTTTAAATGATTTATGTGAAATGTTTAAGGACCAATTATTGGAAATGCAAAAGAAAGATTTAGGCAGTTCTCTTACTACAAAGAATAGACATTTAGTCAAGCACCATAAAGGAAACACAGTGAGGAGGATGTGATGGGTCACATATTTTCTTTTAAAGATGTGCCTAATGACAGTCATTCTGGGCTCAGTGTGCTGGTACCTGCTGAGCCTACATCTTACAGAAGGTATTTGATCTATCATATTTTATGTCTATTGGCTTATTTACATTAGAGCTGCACACTTTTGCCACAATTGATTTCCTTATGGGTTACTTTTTATGTTATGCATTTATGCATGAGTTCAGGAACTTCATTACACTTCAGTAACTGCCAGTTGCCTTCTCAGCATCATGGTGCTCACCTTATCTTTCATTCTTCTTTTAATATATTTCTCAGTTGTAGAGTTGGAAATGAGATTGTGAAGATGACTGTACGAAAAAAGGTGGTCAAATTGATGTCTTTGCCCTGTGGGATATAGAATTTTAGCTCGAACTTTCTCTGCTTTGACATTTTCTGACATGCAATGTAGCTAACCATCATCACTGTATGAATAAGTGTGTGAATGACTAAATGTAGTGAAAAATACTTTGGAGTCACCTTACTTAAAATGTGCTATAAAAGTGTAGGCCATTCACTTCTGTTACCCATGCAAAGAAAGACTAATTCGACTTTGCTTAATTTTGCTTTTAATATTTCCTAACTAAACTCGTTTACAACACTGAAAGTTTTGTCCAGTTCTTTAACGATCAGAGATTTCCCTATAGCCTTAAAAAAACATAAATCAAAATGACTTATGCGTAATACAAACACATTCCTTTATTATGCAAATCTGTTCATTTAACAAATCCTGATTTAACATTGATATTAAGCAGTTTGGGATCCATCTATTTGTCTCTGTTCAGATATCACAGGCTACAGAGGCTTAATGGTATACAGCTTGAGATCTCACACAAAGCCAGGCTCTGTGTCAAGCTCTTCTTTCTCAGCTACTCTTAATCTAGACAGTCATGTTTAACTGAGGACCAGAAAGACTCTCATCAGCCTGAAACGGTCCCACTGAACCGTAATGGCATATTGTATCCAATTTTTCTCATAATAGCTTCGCCTCGTCTCTTCCTGTTTGGCTGTGACTTCATCCTGGATATAAATATCAGCTGTGCTGCTGCCATCAACACTTTTGTTTATATATGTTCGAGATCGGCCTGTTTTTCGGTGTAGTCCTGCTTCTCTGACTGCGGATGGCTGGA